GACGCCTCCTCTAACCTGTTCACAAGCTCCTCTCGCCCCGCGCCTCTTTTCCCAAATGACTCATCAACACCATCGCCCGCGTCTTGTCGTGACACGGAATGTCCGAAAGGTGGAGCCCCGTGTTGCGCTAGCTACTTCCAGCGCTGCGCACGCGAGAGAGGGCAGAGGAATGCCATGCAGTCGATTCTCCTCCATAGTATTCATCTGTCGCCTTCAGACGCAGCGGTTCCACATCCGCTCCTCCCTCTCGGGCGTCGCGATGCCCAGCCGGCCGCTCCCACCGAGTCCGAACACGTCTGGTTCGACCGCGGCTACGAACACGGCTGTGCGTGCTGATCGATGAAAGCGGTGAAGTCGCATTTCGACGCGCGGCCTTACGATGTCGAACATGTTCAGGCAGCACCAGCCTCCCGGGCTGCTGCTTGTACGCGCACCAACCCGCCGCAAGCACGACCCGGCCCGCCTGAGGATGCTCAAGGTCACGATAAAGATGATGTGGAAGGGGAAAGCCGGGAGAACGTGTCGACCGCGAGCAGGAGTTCGCGGGATTGTGGCTCGGGTTGGAACAAGCATGCTTGTCGCTTGGTCGAAGAAGCCTGTTCCGATTAAGGGCGTCGCCATTAACGTCGATGTCCCATCCCTCCGATGGTGATCCGTATGTACCACTGGCAGATGTGTCGCTGAGGTCAGTATCCAGAGTTGCCACAACCTACAGACAGCAGAAGGAAACGCGGTCGATGTGAGTGGGACCCGCTGAAACACCATGAGGAAGGCCATGCAGGAGTAATGAGACTGAATGGGGATTGCTGCTACTTGAATTATTTTATTTGAGCATTTTAAAATGGATTCCAATCATCGAGTTATTTAATTTGATCCTTATTAGCCTTGTCTCTTATATAAATAATACGGACAAGTTGAAAAGACACATCAACAGAACGATTTCTAAGAAGACAAACTTGAATTTTATTGGCGGGCTGTGTAGCTTATCCTGGCACTCCTTTCAGAAAAATAAAAAATTATCAATATAACGGGGCCTTGCACAAGAACTTTATTTACGATCAACATATTGTGTAGCGGCACTGAAGAACTTTATTTACATCGAATAAACGAAGCTTTTTCATAAAAACTGGCAGCAGGTTGAATAAGGCGGTACGTAATTACGCTAAGCTAGGGTTGGGGCGACATCGATGCTGCAGTATCAGACAGTCACAATTCCAGACTGTACCCTAATCGCTGCTCTCTCATCTTTGATGATAAACTCCCGGGAGGCGGCTGTTTTTCTCCTAAGTCAGTAATCAGCCGCTTTCTTTCTCCTACATGCGTTGAGAAGTGCCGTCTGATATCTTGCTTGTTACTCAGGGATGACAATCTCTGAATAAACTACTGCAGCGGAAATCCTCGCACGCATCGCGCACTTTCGCATCGTGTTGACATCTATACGCCGTATTATTTAGTTACCCTCGTTTATACGAGGAAATTCTAAAGAATAGTTAACCGTTTTTTACGCGATTCACTTGAGTGCAAATGTAAGGAATAGAGTGAGAGAAGAATACTTGTGTTCTCGATGTTTGACAGACATCAGTTATTGTGCTGTATAACTGCAGCCTGTTATTGCGAGCAGCACCTAGTAATTTATGTACTCTAGCCTAATTGGATTACTTGGATGTCACAGCAATTAACGTGCGAGCAGTACATTATATCTTCGTCAGTTCACGTACAGGAGATGACAGCAACTAGAGAATCTACTTTACAGCGCACTCCGTGCATCGATATGTTGCCTTATTAGTCTACGAGACGAGCCAGCTGTTGACTAATGCTTATAATGGCTACCTGCTGGCCGAAGAATTCCTGTCCGACGTAGCGTATCATGCTCAACGATGGGATAAAGACCTTGTCTGCTGCTGTAGTAGTGAAGGAGTAAACTTCCCATCATTTTCTTCCACACACCTGCCAAACAGCCATCTAGATTAATAACCATATGTTCTACAGTCTGCTGAAAAGTGGAGAGCGCTGCTAGAAAATAGCCAGCTAGCCGCCGCGCTAAACTGGGCGGTAAACTACGAAACACTCCTCAATATTTCCTGCTTCCAATGATTAGACCTAGAGCAGACTTTCGTATTAGTAGTAATGTCATAGGAATAATTAATTTATTACTATGCTAGCTGTGGTCGATTACTTCTGTAGAGTTTCAATTCATAATATTCCAACCCTCAGACAGTGGTTGTCATAGATCGCCTGTAATTTCCACTCTTCACTTGCAAATTACCTACAAATTTTCCCTCAACCTCCATAAATGAATAGTTGAATGATTAGGCCTACACCACACACGTACACATGAACGCACGCACGCACGCACGCACGAACACGCGCGCACACAACACGCAGCATGCACGACACCACGCACGCACGCACGCACGCACGCACGCACGCACGCCACATACACGCACGCAGACTCAGCGCACACCGCACGGAACGCGCCCCACGCACACGGGCGCGCACACGCACACGCACACGCACACACACACACACACACACCACACACACACACACACACACCCCAGACGCGTGCGCAAGAGAGAGAGAGACACACACACACACACACACGCACACGCACACGCACACGCACGACGCACAGCACGGCGCGCGCGCGCGCACGACACACACGCACACAACAAAACACACACAAACACAACCAACACAACACAACACAACACAACACACACACACACACACACACACACACATACATATATACACACACACCACACACACACACACACACACACACACACACACACACACACACACACACACAACACACACACACACACACATACGCATACACAGCATACACAGAAGAACACATGGGACATGATCGACATTTTAGGAATGCTTTACATTCATAGCTAAATGCATCCGCATTCACGTATATGGGTTTGGTCGTTTTTTGCAGACGTAAAGTCATAATATTATATCATGTAAGTTATCTCTAGACTCCTATAGCTGAGTATTTAACTGCGCTATAGTCATAGAATATAATATATACTAGTTAGACGAGAATAGGCTAGTCAGACTATATGGTTAGGCGCTTTTTCATCGCAGTAGCTATTAGTATAGCAATAGTAAAGCACGCCACGCACACACAATCACGCACACACGCACTATACATTGTCATGTATAGTAAACATACACGCATACATATACGCATACATATATGCATATACATATATATACATATATATATATATACATATACATATATACATATACATATATATATATATATATATATACATATACATATACGCAAACATATACGCATACACGCACACACGCACACACGCCACGCACGCACGCACTACTACATTGTCATGGTATAGTAAACAAGCCATCCGGTGAACTAGCTGTTGCCGCCGTAGTGAAGCCGCGTTACGTTATGACGAAAACTGCGCGATGTTACGCTGCCCGCCTATACGGATTCGCACGCCCGCCTCCTTCGGCGCGCAAATTCGTATAGCGGGCAGCGCAGATGCTACATTTAACACCGCGTCCGCGTGCGCCAGTCCCGCGGAAGTGCGCGCTTAACCGCTCTCCGGCGGTCGGGGAACAACGCATCTTTTGCGCAACGCCATCTTGTACCCGGTCTCTCTGGAAGATACGTACGTTAAACAGACGTCAATCAGAGATTAACTGGACCTCGCATCGTTATACACACACACACACACACACACACACACACACACACACACACACCCACGCGTGTGCTATCACGCATGATTATGCACTGTTTACACAATCGGTTTTTTCTTGCCGACGTTTCACGGCGTGTAAATAAGCATCTGCGATTGTGTACGCGGCAGACCGAATGTACGTGTTACACGGATGCCTACTCCACATCGTCAGTAATGCTGACGAGATGAGATAGAGATTGGCTTCGCAATAAGTCTCACAGCACAATACACGAGAGCAGCACTTGGGCGAGCTGACTTGTCTGCACTTCGAGCCTCGAGGAGAGAAGTGATTGCACATGGAGAGTCGACGTGGAGATCGTGCGATGATGACGACGCCCATGCAAGGGGTCGATGGCCGCGCGAGACAGCCTCGTCGCCAGTCGAAAGGAACAGCGTAAGATTGTAGTTATAGTATTTGTGATTATGTAGTTAGCTCTGCTGTTTTCACACTCCACGTAATGTCTAATGTACTGCACTAATAATGCGGCTGAATGAATGAATGACATCGCTGATGCTGCACAGCAACGTGCGCGAAGTAGCCAGCAAAAACACCGTGTCCGCCGACGCTGCGCACGGAAATTACATTAGGCAGAGTCGTCGTGGCGATGACAAATGAATGGCGGGGGGAAGGAACGTACATACCACACATACATGAGGTAAAGGGAAAAGGAAAAACGGGGCAAATAGGTTCCCCAGCTGGGTTCGAACCCGTATCCGGTGTAGGAGACGGATGTTCTATCGATTACCGCCACTGCCCGTTAAGGCTATGCACCATGGATTCACACGTACGTGATGTTAATCTGTACGCACCCCATCTATTGATGAATATAATTTTTATCAATTTTCAACTTTTTAACTTTAAATTTTATTTCAGCCAGACCCATGCACCTCCCAGACGTGCTCACTCGCCCTCTGAAAAATTGCATCCAGATCGCTTGGGCGGTTGGCCCGGGCATAGGGGGTATACATACATACATACATACGAACTGAAATATAGATTAGATAGTCGCTCTCTGAAAATTGCATCCAGATCGCTTGGGCGGTTTGGCCGGGAATAGGGAGCATACATACATACATAGCATACATACGTACGTACCGTACCGTACGTACGACGCACGCACGCACGCACGCACGCACGCACGCACCAGGCACGCACGCGCACGCCGCACGCACGCACGCACGCACGCACGCCGCACGCACGCCACGCACGTACACAACACAACAGAACACACACACACAACACACACACACCACAACAACACAGTACATCATACATATCATACAACATACATGACATACATACATACATAACATACATACATATCATACATACATACATACATACATACATACATAGCATAACATACATATCAATACATAGAAATACATACATACATACAGTACATACATACATAATACATACATACATACATACATACGAACTGAAATATAGATTAGATATGTGGGGTCTGATTTGAGGATGGCGGTTTAACCATTTATCTCTCACCTTTTTTTTTTTAAATACTGATATTTAGACTCGAGTCATATATCAATATTTCTTTTAAAAAAATTCTTCAAAAATCACTGGGAAATGGGGTGATTTCATAGTAGAATTTCACTTATTTAGATATTATTTTTGAAAATATTCTGGTTAGAAGCATCAATAATAAGCCAAATTCTTAAAAAAACAAAACAAAAGGCATTGAGTAGTTTTGAAGATATATTTTCTTGAAAGTCAGTAGACGGCGGCGGGCAGGGTTGAATTCTTTAAAAAAAGCAAAATGCATTGAGTAGTTTTAAAGATATATGTTCTTGAAAGTCAGTGGACGGCGCGCGCAGGGTTACACCTCTTATTGTCAAATATTTGCACACACGCGCGCACAGCACACGCTCACACACACCGCGCCGCACGCACGCACACACCGCATTCACAACACACACGGCATGCAGACGCACAATCACACGCGCACGCACGCACACACACATACCACATTTACACAACACACGGGAGCGCACACATACACGCACACGCACACGCGCATGCACACGCACTACCCCCATACATACTGACCCGGGATGAGATTTTTCCGCGGACCCGCGAAATCGGCGGATTTGACGTCGCAGGGGCAATTTCGTGAACGTGAAATTCGATTGAGAAAATTGGGGGGGGGTAAGAATGTAAAAATTGAAATATATACCTTGAACAGTACATGACAGTAGACTACCACAAGACAAGTCAACCAGCGGGTGTTACAGAATAGCAGCGTGCTACCGCGCCTGCCGCTAGTGCGTACGATGTACGTCCGTCATGGCAAGCAGCGGTGCCGATTGATGTACGGGCGATCGATTGTTTCATGTCTATGAGCATGTTTATGACTGCGTAGGAGTGACGGGCGCCTGTCATAGCATCAAATAATTATTTTCTCGTTCTGCACCTGCTTCTCCTCTTTCTCTTCTTCCTATTCGTCTTCATCCTCCTCCTCTTTCTCTTCTTCCTACCCGTCTTCCTCCTCTTTTTTCTCGTTCTCCACCTCCTTCTCCTCTTTCTCCTTTCTCTTCTTCCTACCCGTCTTCCTCCTCTTTTTTCTCGTTCTCGACCTCCTCCTTCTTCTTTTCTTCCTACCCATCTTCCTCCTCCATTTTCTCGTTCTCCACCTTTTCCTCCTCGTTCTCTTCTTCCTACCCGTCTTCCTCCTCATTTTTCTCGTTCTCCACCTCCTCCTCCTCTTTCTCTTCTTTCTACTCGTCTTCCTCCTCCTCCTCTTCCTCCTCCTCCTCTTTCTCTTCTTTCTACTCGTCTTCCTCCTCCTCCTCTTGCTCGCCCCCCACCTCCTGCTCGTCATAACACCATGACTGCTATAGATCGTCGATCACGTTGTCTAGCCACACAGAAATCCGTTACAACAACAACTAGTCCACCGGACGGCTTGTTTACTATACATGACGATGTGGGATTTGATTCGCCTTTACACGAGGATGCGCGTGTGTGCGTGATTGTGGGGTGTCACTTTCCCCCGGGCGTAGATGGAGGGTGCCGCTACGTGGCAGCACTAGTCACTTCGTACACTTATTTCCCTATATTATCATATTATTATATTACTATACCATTATTTCCCTAACCCTAACCCTAACCCTAACCCTTAATCCTAACCCTAACCCTAATCTTAACACTAGTGCTGCCAGGTAGCGGCACCCTTCATCTACGCTCGGGGGAAAGTGATTCCCGTGATTGTGTGTGCGTGCGTGCGTGCTTTACAATTGGCCAATACAATTGGCCAAGCCAATACAATTGGCAATATAATGGCTACTGCGATGAAAAAGCGCCACAACCATATAGTCTTACTAGCCTATTCTCGTCTAACTAGTATATTATTTCTATGACTATAACGCAGTTAAATACTCAGCTATATGAGTCTAGAGATAACTTACATGATATAATATTATTACTTTACGTTTGCCAAAAAACGACCAAACCCCATTACTGAATGCGGATGCATTTAGCTATGAATGTAAAGCATTCCTAAAATGTCTTGTGTTCTTGTGTGTATGTGTGTATGTATGTGTGTGTGTGTGTGTGTGTGTGTGTGTGTGTGTGTGCGCCGCGCGCGTGTGCGGTCGTGTGCGTGTGCGTGTGCCGTGTGCGTGTGCGTGTGTGTCTCTCCCTCCTGCGCGCCGCGCGCGCTGTTCTTGTGTGTGTGTGTGTTGTGGTGTGTGTCTGTGTGTGGTGTGGTGGTTGTGTGTGTGTGCTGGTGTTGTGTGTGGTGTGTGTGTGTGTGTGCGTGTGCGTGTGCGCGTTCCCGTGCGTGTGCGTCTGCGTGCGTGTATGTGCGTGCGTGCGTGCATGCGCGCGCGCGTGTGTGTGTGTGTATGTGTGCGTGTTCGTGCGTGCGTGCGTTCATGCGTACGTGTGTGTAATCATTTAACTATTTATTTATGGAGGTTGAAGGGAAAATTTGTAGGTAATTTGCAACTGAAAGTGGAAATTACAGCGATCTATGACAACCAACTGTCTGAGGGTTGGAAATATTATGAATTGAAACTACTGAAGTAATCGACCAACAGCTAGCATAGTATAATAAATTAATATATTCCTATGACATTACTACTAAATAGAAAGTCTGCTCTATGTCTAATTCATTGGAAGAGTGTTTCGTAGTTTACCGCCCATTTTAGCGCGGGCGGCTCATTGGCTATTTTCATAGCAGCGCTCTCCACTTTTCACAGACTGTAGAAAACATAGGTTATTAATCTAGATGGCTGTTGCAGGTGTGTGGAAGAAAATGACGGGAGTTTACTCCTTCACTACTACAGCAACAGACAAGGTCTTTATCCCATCGTTAGAGGCATCGTACGCTACGTCGGACAGGAATTCTTCGGCCAGCAGGTACTTATAAGTATTAGTCAACAGCTGGCTCTCTCGTAGACTAATAAGTGAACATATCGATGCACGAGTGCGCTGTAAAGTAGATTCTCTGGTTGCTGTCATCTCTTGTACGTGAACTGACGAAGATATAATGTACTGCTCGCACGTTAATTGCTGTATCATCCAAGTAATCCAATTAGGTTATGGTACATAAATTACTATAGGTGCGGCTCGAAATAACAGGCTGCAGTTATACAGCAAATAACCTGATGTCTTTCAACATCGAGAACACAAGTATTCTTCTCTCGCTCTATTCATTACATTTGCACTCAAGTGAATCGCGGGAAAAAACGGTTAACTATTCCTTTAGATTTCTCCCGTATAAACGAGGGTAACTAAATAATACGGCTTATAGATGTCAAACACGATGCGAAAGTAACCATGCCGAGGAATTTCCCTGAGTAGTTTATTCAGAGACTGTCATCAGCTGAGTGACAAGCAAGATATCAAACGGTACTTCTCAACGATGTAGGAGAAAGAAAGGCGCTGATTACTGACTTAGGAGAAAAACAGCCGCCCTCCCGTCTATCAATCAAAGATGAGAGACACAGCTGGTTCAGTGTGTTCACAGTTATACTGGAACAATTAGTGAAAGCGACATTGTCTGATTGAATGCAGCATCGATCGCCCCCAACCACGTAGCTTAGCTAATTACGTACCGCTATTCACCTGTGCCTGTTATGAAAAAGCCTTCGTTTATTCGATGTAAATAAAGTCTCAGTTGGTACACAATATTATGATGTAAATAAAAGTTCTTGTGCAAGGCCCCGTTATATTGATAATTTTATTTTCTGAAAGATGCCAGATAGCTACATAAGCCGTAAATAACATTCAAGTTTGCCTTCTAGAAATCGTTCTGTTTGATGTGTTTTCAATGTGTCTTGTCCGTATTACATATAAGAGAAATGCTAATAAATCAAAATAAATAACTCGATGATTGAATCCATTTAAAATGCTCAAATAAAATATTCAAGTAGCCAGCAACCCCCATTCATCTCATATACTCCTCCGTGGCTTCCTCAATGGTGTTTCAGCGTCCCTCAGCAATCGCGTTTCCTTCTCTGTCTGTAGGTTGTGGCAAACTTAGATACTGACATCAGCGACACATCTGATCACGTGGTACTGCGGATCACCACGGAGGGCATGGACGTCGACGTAATGGCGGACGCCCTTAATCTGAACAGCCTCTCGACCAAGGACAGCCTGCTGTCCAACCCGAGCCCCAAAGCCGCAAAATCCCTGCTCGCGGTCGACACGTTCTCTCGGGCTTTCCCCTTCCACATAATCTTTAATCGTGACCTTGAGATCATCCAGGCGGGCCGGGTCGTGCTGCGCGGGTTGGTGGCGTACAAGCAGCAGCACGGGAGGCTGTTGCTGCCGGACATGTTCGACATCGTAAGGCCGCGCGTCGAATGCGACTTCACCGCTTTCATCGATCACACGCACGCCGTGTTCGTAGCCGCGTCGAAACGAGATGTGTTCGACTTCGGTGGGAGGGCCCGGCGGGCATCCGCGACGCCCGAAGAGGGAGGAGCGGAGGTGGAGACGCTGCGTCTGAAGGGACAGATGATATACATGGAGGAGAACGACTGCATGGCATTCCTCTGCTCTCCCCGCGTGCGCAGCCTGGAAGAGCTAGCGCAACACGGGCTCCACCTTTCGGACATTCCGTGTCACGACAAGACGCGGACGATGGTGTTGATGAGTCATGAGAGGCGGGGCGAGAGGAGCTTGATGGACAGGTTAGAGGAGGCGTCCATCTCTCTGCAGGTACTGCACGCGCAGCTTAACCAGGAGAAGGAACGAACCGTGGAGGTGCTAATGGAGGTAATCATAGGGAGAGAAGGGGAAGGAAGGGAAGTAGAAAGGGAAAGGGCGGGCGGTAGGTGGGCGTAAGATGGGAGGTTTCTGCTGTCATTGACCTGAAGTGTCTTGAAACTTAAGTAATAATTAATGTACGGCAAGTTGAAAGGGACTACAAAGAGACTATAAGTGGTGGTTGTGTTTGAATTTTACGTTGCCCCGTCCTGGCGTTGTCAGTACATATTAGTGACTAATTAACCTGTAATTTCAAGTTATTTCTACGCCGCTTTGCAGATTCTTCCGTCTAACATCGTTGCGTCGTTGCTGGAGAACAAATCCGTGGACGCTGAGCAATACGACATGGTCTCCATCCTCTACTCTGACGTCATGGGCTTCACGGCCATGTGTGCTAACCCGCTCGTGCGGCCCATAGACGTCGTGCACATGTGTGACAAGATGTACAGCTATTTCGACACGTTAGCCATCACCAATAACATCTACAAGGTGAGAGCCGCAGCGCCCCCTATAGCTGAATCAACTCTCGGCAATAACAGTTGCTATGTGAGGCTCTCAGGGCCCACTACAGGTAAATAATCCTTTAGCAGCGGTGGTCGCGCGAAGTGAGTCTGTATCGATGGTTGCGACATTGTATGCGTCAACTTGTAATCACAAGGTGGGTGGGTGTATCTTTATATCGTCACGGAAGCTCTAATTAAAACAGCATAAATGCGACGTATAGTAGCTGTACTCTCTTTCTCCGGTTACTAAGGTAGAGGTCTGCTTTATATATAGGTCGCTTGCAGTAGAATCCTACTGCGCTAGAGGACACAAACTTGTCTGAACACAGGGAACTACTAAGAGTGCATGCGCCCAATCACGAATGAATAGCAGTCTAAGCAACTGATAGAGTCACTGTATTATATACACCCCATATATTATATTATATTATATATATTGTATTATATTATATATGTATGTGTATATATATATATATATATGATATATGTGTGTATATATATATATATATATATATATATATATATATATATATATATATATGTGTGTATATATATATAACATGGAAATGGAAATCATTCTGTTGCTACTTGTTCGCATGTTTGATGCACCTGTGCGCGGTGCCTGGGCTGTAATACGGCGAAGATAATTACGGGAGAGCATTGAATAGTGAAGCCTTGTGACGGATCCGGCATGATTAATTACGGGAATGCACGTACTCCGCATCCTGTAGTAATTAATCGAGCAGGACAACAGAACTGCTTTTTGACAGGTGCTATTGCGCAGATGTAGTTATTCCCACGTTTGGTTTTGAATTTGAAAACAATGGCTATGATCAATAACGCCACGAAACGTCGCATGATGTTATGACTCTTTTTTCCTCTTTCTTCTTCTCTTTTTCTTCATTTCTCCGACTTCTCCTCTCCCCAATCCTTCCCTCTTCTTCTTTCCCCTCCTCTTCCTCCTCCTCCTCCTCCTCATCTACATCCACCATCATCTGCTGCTCCTCTTCCTCTTCCAGCTCCTGCTCCTCCTCCTCCTCTTCCTCCTCCTCCTCCTCCTCATCCACATCCACCATCATCTGCTGCTCCTCTTCCTCTTCCAGCTCCTGCTCCTCCTCCTCCTCTTCCTCCTCCTCCTCCTCCTCATCCACATCCACCACCATCTGATGCTCCTCTTCCTCTTCCAGCTCCTGCTGCTCCTCCTCCTGCTGATCCTCCTCTTTCTGCTGCTCTTTCACCACCGCCTCCTCAACTTATTCACCCACCATCCGCATGCGGAACCGTAAGCGGCAGCGGGCTACAGGGTTACAACGGCCTCGACCTCTCTACATCTCTCTCCATCTTATCTTCTCTCCCCGCGCGACGGCAACGTTGTTCTCAGGTGGAGACTATAGGTGACGCTTACGTCGCCGTTAGTGCCCTGCCCGTCTACACGGACACGCACGCCGATCAGATGGTTGCGATGGGCCTCGGCATGATCCAAGCTACCAAGACGATCATGTCTCCTGCTGAGAAAACTCCGATCAGGGTGAGAGAGGGCGTGCGATAGAGGAAGACGGAGAGGGAGCAGAAGAGAGGGAGACGGAGAGCGAGCGGCAGAATGGGAAAGAGAGCGGTAATGTGTGTGCGTGCGTGCGTGCGTGCGTGCGTGCGTGCGTGCGTGCGTGTGTTCGCGCGTATAGTGCGTGTGTCGCGATGAGAGAAAAGGTTAGCTGTTGCCGCAGCATTTATTACACACGCAGCCGGCTAGCATTCTGTTCATCATGAAGGGGACGAATCCTCACACACCCTCAGCGGTGATCACTCACGGGCTCACCAGCACACGGCCCGCTGAGAGACGCTTTTCGTTGCCATGAATACAACCGAAGCAACCAAAAATTCGATCAAAATGTCAGATCAAAGCATTTAGCTAATTGCTCAATCTAGCTTAGCAGACTAATCACTACTATAGGTGGCTAGTTAATTTGTAGTCAGAAAGCTTGACCGACGATAAGCTCCTATATAAGCTGGTTAATGTATATACGTAACCGCTGTTAAAATGAGCGTGTCCTGCATGCGGTTTCAGATTCGTGTTGGTATACACTCGGGGCCGACAACAGCGGGGGTGGTGGGTAGTAAGATGCCGCGTTACTGCCTGTTCGGCAGCACGAACACCGTAGCTAACACATGGAAGTGGTGGACAAGGACATAGTCACATTAGTCTGGAAACCAAACGGTAAGCTAGCCGACCTCTCCTATATTCTGCAGTGCGCTTTCAAATGCCATATTTCCTTCATCAATAATATCTTCGTCGATCTATCGCTCTCTCTTTCTCTCCCTTTCTTTCTCTCTACATTTATCTCTCTATCTCTCTCGCTATATATATACATATATATATATATGTGTGTATATATATATATATATATATATATATATATATATACACATAGTTATTTATTTATACCGAAAAGATATAAGAGAACTCTAGCCATTGGGAACTCTCTATGACCTCCGTAGATATGTGATATATACCCACGACATTACTCCACGCCCCATGATCACGCGCCACGGACAACAAACCTAATTAAAATATTAAAACAACATTCTTATACGCAGATAGACGCACGTATAAACCTTGAGGCACCCTCTATACATTGCGCTTCCTCGCAGTGTCTTACTATAGGAGACGATGTGTCTTAGCTTTATTATCTAGCTATATATTTTTACATAGTTTTATTCAGCTTTATTGTCCGGGCTGTCAGCCCTCCAATTATTAGACTGACGACGCGTCTCATCCTCCAACTCCATATGGTAACAACTGTGGTGATTCAATCTCAGCGTATACATCGACTCTTGCAGTGCCGCCTTAACATTTGCACATTCTCTCAGCGCCCTCTATAAATCGCACTTCCTCGCAGCACCGCCTATAACATTGCACATTCTCTCAGCGCCCTCTATAACATCGCACTTCCTCGCAGCACCGCCTATAACATTGCACATTCTCTCAGCGCCCTCTATAACATCGCACTTCCTGCAGCGCTGCTATACACCACACTTTCTTTTCTCAGGCAGCTGACGTACGGTGATTACGAGTTTTCCGACAATCCAAAGTCGGAGGAGCTTCCGGTGCGCTGCTGCTTCGTGTCGCGGCAGAGGCTTCGTGTGTCCGAGATTCGGAGAGATGGAGGAGGATGCTCAGCTTCTGCGCGCCGAGTCTCGCTCGATGATGACGCGTCTGTCCATACACAGTGTGAGTGACTAGCAGCGGAGAGGCAACAGCTAGCAAGCTATATCGCACATGCCGACAGCAAGCGTATACGGTTGCAGGGCCGTAGCAGCTGGGGGAGGGGCAAGGGGGCAGTCCCCTAGATTTTGGGGCACAATTAAAAAATAAGCTTACCCAATAATCGTAAATAACACTAACGTGATTTTTTGGGGTCACTTATCCGTGGAAGCCTTGTCCCAAGCCTTGTGCCTGACCCACCCCTACCACACTATGGACGTCGATCAAGAGCTGCGCCCGTCGCTCATCATTACACAGTTGAGTCATGAAATTTTGCCCCCCTCCCTAGGAATTTGCTCAGTCTACGGCCCTGGGTTTGTGTCGCGCCTCACATCACATACATTACATCTCCGCGTACGTATTTCTGTTTTACAGAAAAGATCCGACCTACTCGACACCGCTAGCCTCGCGGACCTATCCGGGAGCAGTCCCAGCTTGCGCGCCTGTCCGTTCTCACAGTTGCCGCCGCCAGCCATAAAGCTGACGGGAGCGAACGAAGCAGCGGGCATGCCGCCGCTGCTGGGACTGCAGCAGGCTAATAACGAGCGCGCGGAAGCGTGGATGGCGACAACACCGACGACGGTAGGAGTGGAGGTGACGACCGACATCGGCGCGACAGAAACAGACTCGAAGGCGTCGGCGAGACGCTTTCCGCGCTTCCGTCTGCGTAAAAAAAAGAAACGGAAACAGAAGAGCTCCTTGTGTACGATCATCTAGACGATCCTGAGATTAACACAGAGTCAGGCACTCAAACAGACAGACAGACGGACAGACAAACGGACGGACAGACAGACAGGCAGACAGACAAAAGGACGGACAGACAAACAGGCAGACAGACGGACAGGGAGACAGGCAGACAGACATACAGACACGCACGTGCACACGCACACACACACATACACGCACGCACGCACATACGCACACACACGCACATACACTACACACGCACATACACTACACACGCACACAGAGTTGTAGAGCCAGCATACGTACGGGAATGTACACTGCATGTCTGCAATGCCGAACGGATGTAGAAATAATACACATCTGACAGATGTAAACGATGCCGGTAGATGGCGCTGAATGTCTCATTTAAGAATACGTGCGAGACTGTTTGCTATGAAACTTTTAATATATGAAATGCCACAGTGAAGAATAGTTGCATGTTGATGTACGTGTTTGTCGAACACGAAAGCACAAGAGCGTTCGTTTCGAATAACCATCTTTCACAGGTATCGCTTTTCTATAGCGCGTTGAATCCTTCGCTGTCGTTCAGTAATGCATGAAACGTGCGCGCGCAATTGCTGAGAGAGGAAAGAGAGAAAGAGGGCGAGTCATTGTACCCCGGGTATTGTACACGTACGCCGTCATTACGCAAGCATTCATGATTACCGCATTTGTAACCAAAATCACGAAAGCTCACTGGGGACGCTGCGTACGGTATTCAGTCAACGCGGACGTAAATATGTCATCATCATGCATGCGAATGTGACCGCCGGCGGTGGTGCGGTCACGTCGAATTGTCGTCGTCATGACAGCGCGCATCTGTCGCCTGTGATTGGCAGCAGCAGCCAATCGCGTGTCAATTAGGAAATTCCCGTATCACCAAACCGGTGACAGAGACGGTGAAAGGGAGGGAGAGACGGGAAGTAGGAGGCAGGCTGGTTGAAAAATGGGGAGGTGGGGTAGGGGGTCAGACAGACAGAGTGAGAGGGAAACAGCGAGAGAATGGGCGGAGGGAGAGCGAGAGAGAAATGCAGACAGTGAGGCTCAGGAAATAGTAGAAATACAGGCCGGGACAGGTAAGGGCAATTTTGTCAGCATGAGGATTTGGGTCTGGGCGCGGGGAAGGAGGATGGTGCGATTGATCACCGATTGGCGATGAAATATTTCGATAATATTAGACTTACCCCTGCGTTTTACAACACTGTATAGATGTCATGCGTTTTGTGCCATCGTTAAGATATCGACGCCCCAGAAAGTTTTATATGGTATGAAAAAATCTATTCTCATTTTTTATGGAATGTCTCTATCGGCTTACTGTAAACCCGATGCTACTTAAATTTGCCGTGATTGTTGCTGTCGTTGTTTTACCAATTCCTGTGATTCCGAGATTCCTGTGAATAAACCCTTCACCGCTGATGAAAGAGAAAAAAACCGCAATTTTTCTTTTGTGTTTTGTTCTCGTCTGTCGTTATAGTTACGAACTCAATAGCAACAATTTCCTTAAAACAACGAGGTGCCAATCAATTAATCAATCAATTAATCCAGTNCACGGTGCAGCATACGGCGAGGATTGGTCAGCTACGGGAGGTGAGGGCAGTGTGGTAGTAGATCGACGCTATGATAGTAGCAGAGAGTAGTGGGAAGGTGTCGGTGACGGTGTAGCTTACGGCTGTCTTGCGTTGTTGGTTGTATGGTATAGAGGTGTGTTGTCGTACACAGACTGTGCTGGCGCATATCGAACCTACGATATACCTGTTCATCTGTGTGGTGCGATCAGGTCATCCGACTCAGGTAAGAAGGACACCGACACGTATATATATACTATATATATATATATATATATATATACTATATATATATATATATGCTGTGGGCCGTTAGTTCGCTGTGTAGTGTGTGTGTGTGTGGTGTGTGTGTGCTGGGTTGCTCGTGTGGTGTGTGACGTGTTGTGTTGGTGTGTGTGTGTGTGTGTGTGTGTGTCGGTGCGGTGTGGTTTGTGTGTATTGCCGCGTGTGTAATAGATAAGTGTGTGATTGCCAGAGAATGTCCTCCTGACTACGGGACGCTCATTGTGTTTTATGCTCGTTGGAATTTGAAGCATCATGCAGTTCGCGTTCCACTGATTCATAATTGATTGATGAATCGATTGGTTTATAGAAATTATGGATGCTTTAACGCTTTTACGCGTATTTGTTCGATAACGATTACTAGTAGGCCCTATACCTACGATATATATTACCAGACCGGCAATAAGTTACTAGATAGCTAACGGCAACTACCGGTTATTTATACTTATTATGTTTATGCGCATCATTAAATGCCATAATTGATATATGCCATCTCTAGCCATTATAAGAATTGACACAATATTGCAATCATCATTTGGTAAGCGTAATTAGGTAATTTGATAATATAGCTGATATAGCCTCCTACCCCCACCTTCCCACGCAGGCGCATAATGTGTGCACGTAGGCGCATGCATGCACCACGCACGCGCGCAGACACGCACGACGCACACATGCCGACACATTGATTATCAATCGCCACCGCTAAATTTCACAGGTAACCCGCGGTGAAACATGTTGCGCGAATGAATTCAAATGTAGGTTCTCTTGGAGCGAGAATGTGAGCTCAGACAGCGCTCGACCCGTGCAGATTTCGTGCGATCCGAATTGTTTAACAGTTCAATCATTGTAATTACCAAACAAACGAAGCTTATAGACAGCTCTACTTGATTATAATTATTCAGGATTCTACCATTTCCATAGTTTCATTGTTCCCGCATACGGATTTACAGGCCGGGCAGCGACTCTCTTTCTCTATCATTCAATGTATAGCCACAACAAACGTGATGCTGAAACCGACCTTCATATCAGCTGAAGACGACATCTGATGGAGGATTCTTTGTACGTCTCTGAAATAAACGCCGTGGGATAGACGTGCAGGCGTCACTGAGTACAGTGACGTAACTATAACTGCTGTGACTCCACACGACCAGATTTACGGTAACCGAAGAACAGTCAACGACAGGAGAATGTAATAAATATTGGCGCGCACAACTATATAAGGTAATTCTGTGATGTTATATTTCCAATACTAGTTAATATCTGTTGCAAATTGGTGTAATGGGTGGTTCTATTATATAAATGAGCGGTGTAGTGCAGTATTGTTTTTTCTATGGCGGTGTAAGCTGGAGAAAATCGTGGCAATACGATCGCTTCGTTGACACATATGCCCTCTTCAGCTACGGAGAGCCTTCACGGACATAGGTGGCAGTACATGCGCAAACGAGCCGGAGCAGACGGCAGTAGAAGCTGCGGAAGAGAGAAGATAAAACAATATTCGGGTCATTGCCCGGAAAAACACATGTCTTTACAACTGATGACAGCGATATAAAAGCCGTCGAAAATGGTAAGCTGCTACCTTAGATGTAATCCTGAGTGATCACTGTGTGTGCATGTCACACGCGTACAGGCAAGTGTAAATGCAGTTATTTAGATGATTGCTTTCCGAGATATTTCGTTTGACGGCCCAGGTTAAGGTGAACGGCAATCTGTATCCTTCGCGCTGAGACTTAACTGAAGAACACGCAAAAATTGTTTTCACTAAAACGAGCAAAAACGGGGACGGCTGAAGTGAAGGCAAGTGAGAGTTGCTGTCGATCCTGTCACACTTATAGCGAACAACACCCGCAATTTAAATTCAGAACCACAAATATTGTTTCTTTACACAACCTACAAGCATTATCAGTTGCTAGGCGCACATATAGATCCGTTCAGCTTATTCTCAAGTTATTTTCTCAGTCTTTAGTTTGTCGAGGCGTCGTGGAAAAAACACGTTGATGGTTAATTTTACTCTCACGAAGAGCGGCAATATTATGTCAACAACGCAGCAAATATATCAATTCACAGCAACGCCTAGACTTGTGCATAGTCCCCCATTTCACTCTTCGCTTTATCCGCATTGTGATTATAGCCAATATTTTGCTCCAAGCTCCCGCATGTGTGCCTATCATAATGTATGCAGGCAGGGCTGTAGTAATTACGAGCTCGCGCTGATTATGCTGTGCTGGCGAGGTTTATTCATGACTGCGAGTATATTGGCTGTCACTTGAGCCCAGGTTGCGGGTGTCGCGTCCTGGGCATATTATTTCGCCGTTATATTCGAGTTACCTCGTCGAATCCATCCTATTTACAATGCTCGAAGAACGCATTCACGTGGGATATGCGGGCTCGGCGGGGCCGGCGGCCGGACCTGGGATTAATGTGCCAACCGAGCAATTGCCGTAATTATTTGGCTGTTGTTTCAGTCGCTATATAAGGTCCACATAAGTACACAACCCATACTTAGTACTGTGCTCATCGAAAGCGGTTCATTCAACGCCGTTTCTATGGAAAGCTTCCCCTTCATAAAATCCATTGTTCAAACATTTAGGAGATACACGCAATTGTTTACATCAATTTAAAAGTCATTTCAGAATTAATAATAAAATACAATAGCTTTTATATTGGTTCGAAAATTATCAAAATTTAAAATCAATTCACGAATAACAAATGATTTTATTCACTTGCAAGAGGTTATTCACAACTTTCAAAATAATTGGCCTGATATCATAATTCGCTTCGACATCATTGTAAAAGTTTCATTTTCTAAACGTACCAATTTATTTCCAAACGAACAATACCATTTACTGGGAACGACTGCGATTTTTTCTTGGAGAACAATGTTAACATAACGTCACAAATGTTTCAAATCTTGCTTCTCACCCTAAAATTGAAATTATAAGTTTTAAATTATTTTACAGAATAACGAATCAGTTCACTAAGTTTGGATTGCATTTATTATTTTACCATTATCACCAAAATGCGAATCTGATACTGTTGGTTTCAAGACTTATTAGATAACAGAAATGACCAATATATAGCTTACATTACAACATTATCCATACAGCTTTCAATAACATATAAATGTTACAATCAACAGAGCTCCATTTAAGCAATCATTTACTGCAACTTCCAATCTATTCAAAGAACAGTCTGAAATCACTTATCTAACCGTCCT